CCCGTCGCGGTCGACGACGTCCGCTCGACCTCCTTCCCGCCTCCTTCTCCCTATCTCGCCCGCATGCCTCTCGCCCATGGCTCCGCACGTTCTGCCCCGGACATCCAGCCTCGGGAGGACGCTCGACGCAAGCGCTTGGGGAGGGCCCCGCGGCGTTGCCATGGCTACGGGCGCCGTGCTCCGCGATGCCGGCGTGCGCTTCCAGGGCGGGGCACGGTCTCCGGTAACTGTCCGCGGTCTTCGCGGTGTTTGCTGCTGGGGGAGGCGGCTTGGTCACAGGCCTCGGCCTCGGGCGACGAGTTCTGGCCTGGTCAGTCGGTGGCCAACATCCTGTCAGGAGCGGCGTCCCACAGACGGTTAAACGTGCGTCCTCGCAGTCTGCGGGGGCGGTGGGCAGGGACCGGGGTGGGGGTGGCGGCTGTGGAGGGGCTGTGGTGCGGGGGAGCGGGTTGGACAGGGCTGGGGCAGAGCCTCGGGCTGTCCTCCCCCTCCCGCGCTGGGGCCGGGAGCGCGAGTTCTGGTCGCCCTGGGCAGCCCCGGCCTCCCAGAGTCCCCGGAAAGGGCAGGCGGAAGGCCCCGGGCCTTGCTGGTGTTTAGAAAAGCCGCAGATTCAAATTTTGGAGTGGGGTGGTTTATCAGCCTTGCTTATCAGCAGGGAAATTTTAGTTCCGTCCAGATGTTGGTTCTTTGCGTAAACTTTAGGAATAAGACACCAGGGTCAGTGCTGATCAGCAGTTATCAAGGGCTTGACTCAAAATAGACTGTGCGGGGTGTAGGGATGGTAGATGGGCCGCTCCCTCTCGAGGTTGGCAGTCTTCGGGGATTAGAGGCCCCAGATGAGGATTACATCCTCATCTGCAGTAACAGAGGTTGTGGGGAACACTAACACAGAGAAGGGAGGGGTGTGGCGGCAGTAACTCATTACAGAAGCCAGGACCCTTGTCTGGCTATTGTGTAAGGGAGTCTTGCCTAGGATAGGGTGGCAGTTATCAAAGTGTGTCCAAGGGCCCCTGAGTTACAAGACCATTTTCGCAGAAAAGCCAGAATGTCACCTGCTTTTTGCACACTCTTGCTCTCCCGAGTTTCCTGTGGGGTTTTCCAGGGAAAACCTGGCCTGTAATATCACAAAACAGGGAACGCAGAGGCAGATAGGAGAATTCAGCTCTCACCAGTCCAAAAAGAGATTTGCAGAAATAATAATCACTGCTGTTCTTCTCACTAATGATTTTTGTTTTGAAAAATATACTTATTTTTTGTTTCAGAATGTTAATGGTAGCATGTAGTAGGTTGTTATTATTTTTAAGTGAATTCATACATTTTTTAAAGTTCTTATTTAACTTCCAACACAGGAACTATTGACAGATTTAACTCACATAAACAGCAGCCTTTTGGATTACTCAGTAATTGTTAAAGAGTGTACAGGGGTCTGTAGACCAAGAAGTTTGAGACCCCCTGGAGATTGGGTGCTCAGGTGCTAGTCAGGTGTTTAGCAGGTGTTAAACGGATGCCAAGATGTCTTCTGCATCTACTTCCGGACTCCCAAGTAATTGGTCACACGGAGATGGGTGGGCAGTGCCTCCACTTACAAGCCAGAAGCTGCTGAATGTGCCTGGAGTCCCGGCCATGGGCTGTGGGTGTGGAGCCGGGTTTCCTGTGCAGAGGCCTGTCCCTGAAGGACCACTCTCCTTTGCTCACTGCCAGGTACCTTCTGTGCGACGTCAACTCCCCAGAGGGCCTCAGCCTCCACAGGGACATCGGCATCCACATCGCCTTCCTCCTGAAGACCCTGCTGAAAATGGAGGAGTCAGTGCTAGTGCTGCCCCCCTGGGGCCGCCTCTACCACTGGCAGGGCCCCGACATCCACCAGGTCTGGATTCCCTGGTATGACGTTTTTGATCTCCCAAGTCTCAACAGAAACATCCCTGACATTGAGTACAAGCAGTTCATTGCAGGTGAAGTGATGGTCATTTAACTGGGGTCAGGCGGTTGTTGTTCTGGTTCCAGTGTGACCATTGGTCCATCTTGCTTCGGACCTGAAGTTCTGCCTAGGGGCCTGCTCATGTTTCCCACACTGCAGGTGAATTTATTCTTTCCATAGCTTTTCTCAGGAAATAGATCTGAAGTGTATGACTCTGTGTCCCCTCCCCTCTGAAAACAGTGTCCTCCTGGTGAGATGGAGCTGTTGCCACAAAGGACTTGTCCCAGCAGGGCTCTCTTCCTGTGCAGCCAGGGCCGTTCGTATCTGAAGGGAAACACGATGTGTGTGTAGCATGGGCCACGTGCTGGAAGAGATATGTAACCACCCATCCAGTATAATTTGGTCCTGCTCAAGCTTCCCATTTTAATTTTGATAAGAGGGATGAGTTGAAGATTTTCTTTGAATAAAGATAATTAGAGCTTATCATTGAGGTTTTTTTTATTGAAATGTGGTTGATTTACAATGTTGTGTTAGTTTCAGGTATACAGCATAGTGATTCAGTTGTACATGTATATAGTCTATTCTTTTTCAGGTTCTTTTCCATTATAGGTAGCAAGAAACTGAGTATTGTTCCCTGTGTTCTACAGTGAATCCTTGTTGTTTGTCTGTTTTACATACAGTAGTTTGTATCCTTTAATCCCCAACTCCTAAGTTTGTTTTCTAAGTCAGTGAGTCTGTTTTTGTTTTGTAAATAAATTCATTTGTATCTTTTTAAAAAAATTCCACATATAAGTGATATCATATGATACTTGTCTTTCTCTGACGTATTTCACTTAGTGTGATAATCTCCAGGCCCATCCATGTTGCTGTAAATGGCATTATTTCATTCTTTGTTATGACTGAGTAATATTCTGTTATATCTAAATACCACATCTTCTTTATGCAGTCATCTGTTAGTGGACATTTAGGTTGCTTCTGTGTCTTGGCTATTGTAAACAGTGCTGCTGTGAACATTGCAGTGCAGGTATATTTTTGAATTAAGGTTCCCTCTGGATATATGCCCAAGAGTGGGATTGCTGGATCAAATGATAAGTCTTATTTTAGTCTTTTGTGGAATCTCCATATTGTTTTCCACAATGGCTGCACCAAACAACATTCCCACCAATGATGTAGGAGGGTTCCCTTTTCTCCACAGCCTCTCCAGCATTTATTGTTTGTGGACTTTTGAATGATGGCCATTCTGACTGGTGTGAGATGATAACTCATTGTAGTTTTGATTTACATTTCTCTGATAATTAGTGATACTGAGCATTTTTTTCATGTGCCTATTGGCCATTTGTATGTCTTCATTGGAGAATTGCTTGTCTAGTTCTGCCCATTTTTGGATTGGGTTTATTTTTTTCTTATTAAGTTGTATGAATTGTTTATATAGTCTAGAAGTTAAGCCATTGTCAGTCTCATCTTTTGCAAATATGTTCTCCCATTCCATGGGTTGTTTTTTGTTTTGCTTACAGTTTCTATTGCTGTGCAAAAGTGTATAAGTTTAACTAGGTCCCATTTGTTTATTTTGGCTTTTATTTCTGTTGCTTGGGTAGATTTCCCTGGGAGAACATTGCTGAGATGTATGTCAAATAATGTTTTGCCTATGTTTTCTTCTGGAGGTTTATTTTATCTTGTCTTATGTTTAAGTCTTTAAGCCATTTTGAGTTTGTTTCTTTTTGTTTTGTTTTGTGACTGTTTTGTATGCTTTTGATTTGTGGTTATCTTATTTTTCAAGTATGTCAACCCATTACTATATCTATTTCCTTTAGACTGCTAGTCACATAGGATCCAACACATCCTAAGAATAATGAAGAAAAAAAAAAAGAAAGAGAAAAAAATTTATATTTTCTTGCTCCTCTCTCCCATTCCCACCTTTTTTTTACTTTGATGTCCTTTTTCTTTTTTACATCTTCACGTTTATTCTCTTGTAACTTGTTGCTGAATTTCCAACTATGGTTTTCCCATTTCTGTAGCATCCAGCTTCCTTTCTATTTAGAGTAGAACCTTTTAATGTTTCTGTTAGGTTCAGTATTGCTGAGTTCTTTTAGTTTTTGCTTTTCTGTGAAATCCTCTATCTCTCCTTCTACTCTAAATGATAGTCTTGCCAGATAATATCCTAGGTTGCAGCTTTTTCTCATTCAGAACTTTGGATGGATCTCACCACTCCCTTCTGGCAAGAAAGCTGAAACCTTATGGGGATTTCTAGTAACTAACTCTTTGTTTTTCTCTTGCTGCCTTTAGAATTCTTTATCTTTAACTTTGGCCATCTTAATTATAATATGTCTTGGTGTAGGTCAGGTTGGGTTTTTGTTTGGGACCCTTGTGGTTCCTGTACATGGATATCTGTTTCTTTCTTTAGATTTGGGTGGTTTTCAGACATGCTTTCTTCCAGTACCTTTGAAATCCAGTTTGCTCTTTCTTCTCTTTCTGGGGTCCCTATTATGCATAGGTTTGCACACTTTATATTATCCCATAGGTCCCATATATTGCTTTCATTGATTTTTGCTTTTCTGTCTGTTGTTCTGATTGGTGAGCTCTGTTATCCTGTGTTCTGAATCACTTATTCATTCCTCTGCTTTATCTAATCTGCTTTTGATGACATTTAGCCCAGCTCTTCTATCAGCCATTGAGTTTCCTGTTTTTAATTGGCTCTTATTTATAGTTTGTATTTCCTTTTCATAGTATTCTCTGTCTCTTATTCATAGTCTCTCTTATTTCCTGCAGTGTTTTTATCACTCCCTTTTTGAAGTCAAGATCTAGTAGATTGTTGAGGTCTATCTCATCTTTCTTCCCTTCAGGGGACTTCTCTTGTTCTTTAGTTGGGAGTGGTTCCTCTTCTTCATTTTACTTATATTTCTCTGGCTCTGTGCATTTAGGAGTATCAGTTATCTACTGTGGTCTTGAAGGGCTGTTTTAGTTTTTGTTGGTTTTCATTTAAAGTGGGAGTGTTCCTGTGTAGACTGTGTAGCTGATAATTTTGTTGTAAGGGCTGTTCCTAGTATTTATGATTGCTGTGTCTGTCTCCTGTGTGTGTTGGCTGCTGTCCCTTTGATTGGGGGTGTGTTTGATGTTTTGGTGATCAGAGTTTACCCTTATGTTCGTTGCTGAGCATGGCCTCCTTTTTTGTTCTGTAGTTGTCACAGCCTTGCCAGGGGCTGAGTCTGCTCCCCTGTTGCTGGAAAAGAGGCTGCTAGACCCGTTTCTGAGCTGTGGTGTGTGGCAGGCGTGGTTGGGGTGCTTCAGCTGGGGAGAAGAGTTGCTGAGTGCACCTCCACAGGAGATAGCCACTGGGATGTGCCCTCTGTGGTGGTGTCTGTCACTTTTTATATGGGCTTACAAAGTACTCTTGATGCTGCCTTTGTTCCCACCTTAGCTGTGGAAATGCTGGCCACCTGCTCTGATCTCCCCCATGTTCTGGGCCCCAGGAACCACCAGTGCAAATCTGTCAGGTGCTAGGACCCACCGTAGCAAGCATGCAGGCACACACCTGAATCTGTGGTGTGCTACGGAGTCAGCACAGACACCAGCCCCACCTCCACACACATATGGTAAGCCAGCCTCTTGTAAATCCCCACATTCGCCGTGTGCCAGAGCTCCACTCAGTGCCTGTTAGTCCCAGAGGCCTGGATCCACAAAGGGTCCAGATAGAGCACATCTGCCCTCACTGCCAGGAGCTGTAAACAAATCCCAGTTCTGCCTG